ATTTATATTTGTATATATATGAGAAACATTTTTGAATCTCAGTGAGGAGGGATCCAAGTAGACCTGACACTTAATTCTCAAACTGTACAAACAGTAGTTACAAAAAATTAGGCAATACTCATAACGATGCTAAAATAATTGCAGTTGATTGAGGTTTTACTTTTTTTTGATATCCTAAAGGAGCTTGACAGGGGGCCAGTTTTCAGCAAAGAATGTAGAAGCTCATGTGCGTCTATTCATTGTTAGACTTTTCAGCACAACTCTCAAGAGGAGATTTGAACTATGAAGAAGACGTGTAGTGTTTCTAGTTTTCTCGAGTATATTTATTAATTTATTTATTTATTCGTAAAGGTCGGCTTTATATCCTTCGTGGTGTTTCTTATCTCACTTTCGTTGTGCTTGGAGATGGTTTTGACAATGTTGCTGTTTTTTGAAATTACATCATTTAGCATTAATGCTTGAATACTTCAAAGGCTAGGGAAAGAACGCTAACAGTTTTGCGGACAGCTAATTCTTGGAGGCCATGGTATGTCTTTTGAATGTTGATTATTTCAAAAGCTGTCTTTTTTGAAATCGGTGTAATTGTTTTCTAAAGCTTTGCCAGTGATGCTTGTTGTCTGAAGTATTGTTTTTATCGTACATAAAAGTGCTAAAGTCGCATAATAAATACTGTTATTTTGTTTGACAACGTTATTTGTATCAGAGTTTGCCGTGGGTTGATAAATATAAGCCGACAAGCTTAAAGCATTTGGTCGGGCAGAGTGGAGAGAAATCGCCTATGAATAAATTGCTGGGATGGTTAAGAGACTGGCCGAAGTATCACATGGGGGAAGGAGCGAAGCAAAAAAAGCGTAAGATTTTTGATTTGATCAGCTAACCTTGACAATTTATACTAAACTTCTGATTTCTTCCAGCAAGGCCACCTCCATGGTTAGCTCAGAGTGACGGTTCGTCATTCAAGGCTGTTTTGTTAAGTGGTCCGCCAGGTAGAACATTTTTAACTCTGTAGTTGTTATTAGTTTTGTTTCTGTATTCAAGTAGGTTAACTTTAGGAAAGGTGCTGGCAATATTTGATGGAAAAACATTCAGAAAGTTCTGTTGATCGAAAAATTAGTATTGTTTCGCGGGAAATGTGCGAACTTCTGTATAGATACTTGCAGTGAAATAAGAGGCTTATCATACTATTGAGTTCCTTTTTCTTAAACAGCCTTAGTTCTTAAAAAAGTTTTTTTTGGTATCTGGTTAGGTTTTTTAGAAATTACTTTTCAGTAATGGTTTTTTTTCCTTTAGTGGCATAGGGTTTAAGCAGCAGTTTCTAGTATTCATTACTATTCATCAGAAATTAAAGATTTTTACGAGGTGGTGATCCTCCATCGTGATGGTTTTTCGACCATTTTAACTTCGAGATAAATTAAGACATGAGTTTTAAAGCAACGGCAATAAACAGCTAGTGTGTACAATTCAGGATATCTTCCAAAAATATTTTGAAAGACATTCATAAGTCTCGTTCACTTTTTCACTTAGCTCGAATGTGCTGACATTTTTTGTTTTACAGCGCTTGGTTGATAGATCATTTTTTCAAACTCGTTTACTTTGTTTTGGATAGTACGGTTTTGGAAGGTATCATGGTTGATAACACTTTTTCGAGCAAAATTGTTGAGATTTAGCTGTTGTTTCTCAAAATCTTTTACACTGCGCACTTTACTTTTGAAGAATAGTGACATAAATTGTATTTGAAATAAGGAGTGGTCGTTACCATTTATCTGAATTATTGATGCTGTATGGCTCATTAATTTGTAACAGTTATTTTCCTTATAGGCATTGGCAAAACGACTTGTGCCTTGTTGGCATGTAAAGAACTTGGTTTGGAATATGTTGAGATGAATGCTTCTGATGTTCGGAGTAAGAAATTGCTGGATTCAAAATTTAGTGAATTAATGGGTTGCCGACAAATAAACCAATTTTTTGGGAAAGATGCAAAGGTGAAATCAGGTCTGTTTGCTAATTTTTCTCTTCTACAACTGGTCCCAAACTTGGATTTGAAACGGAATTTGACTTCAATTTGTTATTCTGCAGTTTCTGGTTTATTTTTTTATTTCTTATTATGAGCTGTCTTGGGGTTTTTGAAAATGTAAAATTTTGAAGCTCAAAAGGGCTCAAATTCGAACAAGCTTACCCATTTGCTAATTATGGATGAGGTCGATGGGATGAGTGGAAATGAAGACAGAGCCGGAGTATAGTTTTTTGTGCTTTTCAATGGTTTACCATCTGTTTGCTTCTGCTATTGTTTGTTTTTTCTACTTTGGTTTCAGAAATATATCTGGTATGTTGTTTAATTTAGCTTGCTGAATTGATCAAAATGATAAAGGACACAAAGATTCCTGTGATATGTATTTGCAATGACCGTCAGTCGCCAAAAATGCGTACTCTGGTCAACTACTGTTTTGACTTACGGTTTCCTCGCCCAAGAGTCGAACAGATCAGGGTTTGTAGAGTAGTTTTTACTTCTGCTTAAAGATCAGTGTCTCTTCCATTTTTGAACTGTTACTTCATTTTATTTACCTTCTATTTTTCCATTTTTTTATTTACATTAATTATTATTTATTTTTTTT